GCCGAAAGGCCGAAAATGATTAATAGAAATATATAATATAATGTATACATTTTTTACCAATGTTGTTCAGCTACCTGATTATGGAAAAAGGCAAACTTAACTTAAATAATAATCACTATTATGGGTCCATAAAACATTTATTCAGCACTTTTGAATGCATACAGTACATTAATTCCAAGTCAAGTGCATTTTCTTTTCTCTGTAGGATAACTACAACAAAGTGCATTCAGAACAAAGCCAAGGTGCTTTAAAACTGCATAAACATCTAGGCCAGTAGGCCTACAACAAAATAGTGTAAATAAAGACTGTAACAGCCAGGCCTTCAACAACAACAAATGCATCTATAAGTTTGGTAACCTAACGTGTTGTTGTGATGACGTAATCAAAATGCGGCGACAAGCACGGCGTGCTACCGTGCTCGCGGCTGGCTCACAGCCAACATATCTGCCGCTTGGAGATATTTCAAAATATCAGAGAAAGAGGCGCGGATTGCAATTTGTAAAATGTGTTCAGCTGACATTTCTCGAGGGGGTGTAACTGCAAAGACTTTCACCACTTCGGGATTACTCCACCACTTGAAATCAAAACACCCGGACAAATATGCGGAGTATGATCAACGTAACCCTGTTCTCTGACATTCGGTGATATTTTTTCGGTGCTAAAACCATTTCGGCCGAAAGCCGAAAGGGCCTTTTTAACCATTTTTGGCCGATAATTTTCGGTGGCCGAATATTCGGTGCATCCCTACAATTTATCATATTTTTGGATATGAAATTGTGTCCATCTATATGTATGTATATACTATACTATACTATAATACACTTATAGTGAAGTTTGCCTTGTTGTGTCACACCAAGTTGGAATATAATGTCTACCTGATGGCGGTGTGACAATAAAACCTGAAAAGCTGTTTACTTGGAGTAATAACTGGAAAACTTGCCATTGAATGCCTTGTGGGACTATCGTCCAGCAGGAGCAGCTCTGAGCCGCTCTCCCACTCGTCATCCGAGCCGTCCCAGTATCTCCGGCGCTGACCCGAGGACTGGGACCGGGTCACCACCTTGGCTGAGGACAGGGTAGCATCCTTGGAGTCTGAATTCACGTTTCCAGGAGTGGATGGGATCAGATTCTCCGGCCTGTCGTGTTTATCCAAGCCTCTGTCCAGAGGGGACACTGCGTCCTGCTCTTCATCGTCATCCTCAAACAAAGAGGACTCAAAGTGGAGGAAGCCGTTAGCAAAGGGGCTGTTGCTGTCCAGAGAGAAGGCCGGGCTGGGCGGGCCTGAGAACAGACCTTCTGTCTTTTTCTCCGAGACGTCAGGAGCTGCAGGTATGTCTCGACTTCTACTCTGGACCACAGGTTGTTTTGGTCCAGAAGAAGAGCCACAATAGCTTTCCTCCCTGCTTGTGTTCTGGCTGCCAGAATAATCCCCGCTTGTGCAGTCAGCCCAGGAGTCCGTCTCCATCTCCTTCCCCCTCTCCTTCTTATTCCCCCCCCACTCCCAGCTCCTTTCCGGCTCCCTCACCGGCAGCACCAGGTCCGGCTGGCTCACCATGGAGGTGAGATGCTGCAGCCTCCTGAGAGGACTGTAGGATGAAGAGGAGGAAGAGGAGGAGTGCTCCGTTTTTGTAAACCCATACATGGATGCATGCTTGAGGGAGGAGGCAGACATGTTTAACCCAATCCTGTGGTCATGGTGTCTGGAGGCGGCGAGGTCTCGCCCGGGGGTCAAAGGGCAGCCGGACTGATGAGTCTCTCTGCCAGGGCCTGGGTGAGGCCCACTCATGCTGGCATGGTTCCTCCCTGTGACACAAACAGAGAATTGTTAGCATACCAAAACATTTTTAAAAAAATCTAAGTTTGGTTGACTATTAAAACACCTGCAAATTGTTGCTAAAGCTTGTTAGACTGACATTTGTTTTAATTAATGGTATATTTTATAATCCTACAATTATCCTCAAAGAAAGTACACTTCATCCATGTTTCATGTTTATTCTCAGCATATCCCTACAATCTGTGTTACATCACTGCAGCTTGATCAAAGTTATCCCAGGCAGCTGGTGATGAGATATATTGAAGAAAAAGCGACACAGCTCTGACCTGAAATCCGTGAAAAACAACCCAATTTGCTTCACATGATGATCATCAGAATACAACGTAAACAGACTCACTGACAAAGAGCGGGTCGACCTTATATGAGATTATTTGGGAGAGATTCTGCGCAAAACATCACAACAGCCGCTGTAAAGCCTTTGAGGAAAATTATCGCGATGTGATGAAAATGACATCAACACGATAAGGTCATCAGCCTGTAAACTCGTGCATACTGTGGACTCACAGAATAAAGACGATCAATGACAGCGTGTCATGTTATAACATCTACCCGTCGTTAAACAAGCCGGCTGCAGCCACCAACTGGAATTAAAATGGACCCATTCGTGCACGCGCGTGTGCATAGGTGTGTGCCACTGCATGTGTGTGTTAGTGTGTGTTGTGTTTGTCGATCATGGCTTGCAGTGGCTTCCATGCTTGCACGAGAAGAGAAACACTTAATGCTACATAATACCACGAGACGACACAAAACAAGTTCACCAACACACACACGCTCACGCACACACACACTTCCCTCCCCGACAGATGCAGGCTATGTGTGCATCAAACAACAGAATCACGGAGAAAACGCCAAATGACACGGGATCCGTCGCAAGAATCTTACCATTCTGATGTCGTTCAGCGCAAACATGACCCTCAACCCGCTCATTTTGCCCATTAAATGTGCCAATTTCCAATTTTGTGAAAGCGGATGAGGAGAGTCCCAGCGGCAATACTACTAGGCCTGGATCCTGTGAAACGTACTCTCTCACTGCCCCCTGCACCTCCCTCCTCCTCCTCCTCCCCCTCCTTCTCTCTACATGCGCTAAAGCCTGGTCCAGCGGCCCCTGGAATTAGAGATTCAGGCAGCGACACTCCCCCTTCTGCTTTGAGATAACTACTTTATATTTCGCCGTGTATACATCCCTGCTCTGTTGAATGGCTGTTTCCTGCCTGCAGACTCTGAAAGTCAGCCCCTCTCTCTGTGCGCACTGCCAGGCGTCACTACTGCCTCCCTCCCCAGCCGGTCCACAGCATAGAGAGCAGAAGGGGCCGTAAATCGTTTTTCCTAGAAATAAAAACTAAGAAAATCTGAGCTGGCAGCCACCTATAAAAGAGAAAACACACCAGACGTCCACATGACACCTCTAAAAACTGGCCCCGCCCCTCTTCTTAATTACCAGCATCAATTATTAACCTAAACCAGGCTGCCATCACCAACATGTCACATGCCAAAGTTGTGCCAACAAACTGGCATCTCATACACCACCAACCCCCTCGAAACGCACTTGGTCAGCACACTAAATAAGACGAAATAAATAAATGGAAGTCATTCAAAATGTCCTCCACTAACACGTCGGAAAGGCAGAGAAATTGTGCAGCAGGCTACCCGGAAAAACAGATGGGTTTCCTTTCCTGAGACGATTTGCTGTGTAGTCTGCACACCCGGTCCCTTCAAAATGGAGTCCTCCAGTCCAGCCTTTAGTGGAGGAAAAAAAAGCAGGCCACAAAGTGTTAATGCAAGCTCGATATAAAGTTCAGCCAGCCACGGAGGGACTGAGCCTCTCTCCTGATCCCTGGAGCTGTTTCTGAGTCCTGGGTCCTGACAGGAACATGTTCCCTACATGCTGTCCCTGTCTCATGAGCGTGTGTGCCACGACAAGAACAGGGGCTCCTCTGGTGTGTGTGTTTGTGTGCATGTGTGTGTGTGTGTGTGTGTGACAAACGCTCGTCTAAAAACATTAAATGGCACTTTAAACGTCGTCTGTGCTGTTTTTTGGTTACTGGTTTTGGTGCAAATGAAGGGGGGAAAACACACGGTTTCTTTTTTTTCCAGAAACGAATGGGTGAGAGTAGCCTACTGCAGCTCCTCGGCCGGGGAGAAGGAGCTCTGCTTTGGTGTATTGGATTTGTAGAGTGAGATTTGTATAATTAGAGACGATATGTCAGTGGGGACATGGGAGGGTGGGTATAGGGGGGGGGTTCAGGTGTAGAAGAAATCCCCCCACACACACACACACACTTCACTCTTGTCACCGGGAGGCGGTGTGATATGGGAAAACGGCGGAAATGAGCGACAGAGTCGCAACACAGAAACACTTCCTCCCCTGCAGAATGAAGCTCGGCTGGGTCACTATTAAGCACGAGGCGAACAGACACGAGCCTCTTTATGACTGTGCATGGGAATATTTCACGTTTTCTGAAACCTCTCGCTAAAATATCCCCTTCTAACATCCCCCGTTCATTTTCATCTGAGAACACGGATGTCCAGGATGCGTTTTGCTATTCGAGCCGAACAGAATATGTTTTGTTGGAAGTAGTGAGACACACCGGTTAGAGACGGGCAGACAAGAGCAGGGCCTGCTGCGGGTTTATCAGGCTGAGTTTCGTTAAACAGCGCCTCGACCGGCAGCCTCTCGCATCTCCACCTCCATCATTAGCGCCATTAACGTGGATCACCTTCATTTACAGGCAACATGTCAACATCTCCAGGACTTTCCACTGCTGCATCTAACCGAGGTTTGGTTTGACGAAGCATCTGTATGAGTCAAATCCTCCAAATCAAAGTATTACAAAAAAGTAATTCCCCAGACATGCAAGATAAGATAAAGATGAGAGAAACCTTTATTAGTTCCTGTAGTAGGCTAATTCAGGTGTCTGAACAGCAGAACAAAGGGCAAAACACAGGATAGAACAGATTAAGTTCAAACAAGGATAATTAGATTGAATAACAAATTAAACATATAAGTGACAGTATAAAATTACATTAAAAAAGGTTCATTAAATAATTAATTATAATAAATATATACAGTAGACAAAGTCCCACCTCAGCAGCTTACTGTGGTCTTCTTGTTTCAGAAAGTACATGCAGAGGTGTGAAGTAACTAAGTACATTTACTCTAGTATTGTACTTAAGTATCCTACAAGATCTGAGTACTTCTGAGTCAGGGGCGCCGCCAGGGATTTTGGGCCCCATGAAAAGATATCACATTGGTTACTTAAACATTTTGTTCTTAATGTTCTAAAATAGTTTGGGCCCCTGTCAGTCACGGGCCCTTAGAATCGTCCTAACTTTTCACCCCCTTACGGCGTCCCTGCTCTGAGTACATGTATCCCTGTGTAACATATGTATCTGAGTGAGAAACGATCAGGCCACTTTTGTTTAACAGGCTGTGGTATGAAAATGTGTTATAAATATACAATACAGATGGGTAATATACAGCTTCCGGGCCTGAAATACTGGATTCCTGAAACACTGCTTTATTTTTTTTGCGGTGTGTTAAATATGGCAGGCAAAATAACATGACATCATTTATTTAACTAAACACACAACACTTTGCAGAATCATGACACATCTATCGACCCCCCCACCCCCAAACAGATGACTCAGCTGTTCTGGTATGAGCTGGTAAAAGTGGACTGATTTGAATGAATGTATAGTGACAGTGTACTGATACTACTTTTTCTCAGTACCTTTTCCACTGCCTCTGCTGCTACTTCAGTGAAGTATCTCCTCATCACGAGCCGAGGCCTTTGTGTTGTTGAAGCGCCACATTTATTTGGAGACTCGTCAGATCCACCAGAGGGCAGCAGAGCACGGGACATGAGATCAAGGTGTAAAAGTGTTTCCAACATTCCCACAAAAACTGATAGCCCCTTGTCAACGTCAATCTCATCTCTCATTTCTTGTTTATTTTTATCCAATAAGTTCCACCCCGTTGGCTTTCTCCAGAGGTTCTATAGTGTAGTGGTTATCACGTCTGCTTTACACGCAGAAGGTCCTGGGTTCGAGCCCCAGTGGAATCAGTCTTTATGTTTGGACAGTGATATGAGAATCCTTATATCAATAGGTAAAAATAACCAATATGTATATATGTCATTCCATTAAATTTGAAACAAGCAAACATAATAGAAATACATTATTCAATTCAAAACGTATGAAAGTTAGCAAAATAAATAGGAAATACAAGTCAAATCCATTTATCGATTTTTAAATGTGACACATGCTATCCAGGAATCAACTGATGAAGATGTGGAAATGCTACACAAGTAAGCTATTTATCCAGATTGTATTTATTAATTGATGATTAAGTATTTGTTTCTTCCTGGTGACACAGAGGTTGCAGTTCTCTTAAAGGGCCAGTATACCTGGGAAGAAGTGCTTGTTTGGATAGTCAAATACATTTGGAAACTTCTCAATGCACACCTCTTCTCACTACAGATTGGAGGGCAGTTTCCTCTCCAAAAATGTAACATTTACCATGCTGCACTGATACCCCAAGTTGGTGGAGGTAATGAAAGAGAAATAGTTGTGTAAATGGAGGAATTCATGAAAAAAATATCTCTATGGAATGAGGAATGACTTCATGCAAAAATATCTCCTGATGAAATCAAATTGGGACTATTATGGATATCAGGAAAATAGTCTTAAAGCAACAGTTTGTGTAAAATGATATACATGGTAGATAGTATTTGCTTTACCAGGATCGCTATGTTCCTAGAAAAAATGATTTTCGCAAAGAGAAGTAAAGGAGAGCGGACTGACTACAAATGAAAGTATAGATTAGTAGTACAAAATAACGAATGGAAAAAGCTCCAAACTACGTTAAAAAAATGTTTCTGTTCAGCACTATCCAAGTTACTAAAATTCATTTCTGGGCTCATTCAAATAAAAGTAGACTTAGACTCTGTTGAAGATATGCTTTCATCTTGAAGTGATATACTTTAATGTTGGGCTCTCCGTGCCATTGTTTGGATCAGAGAGAGCCAAGTGGGGTGAGTCCTATATACAAGTTATATTGTTTTTGGTTGAACTACACCCTAAAAGATACATTTTTGTCCTTATGTTTCTTTGTTGACTTACTCTAAAAAAAATATATAAAAATATGGTCACTGACACACACACACACACACACACACACACACACACACACACACACACACACACACACACACACACACACACACACACAGTGGAAGCTCCTGGATTAGATATGTGGGAGGAAGCGTTCACACCACCCTGATTAAGTTTTAGTTAACTGTCACACCAGAGATCCGGAGGCCCACGCTCACCACCTCTCCCGGAAATGTGTGTGCGTGTGTGTGTGTGTGTGTGTGTGTGTGTGTGTGTGTGTGTGTGTGTGTGTGTGTGTGTGTGTGTGTGTGTGTGT